TTCCTCTTTCACAGGGCTGAACAAAATAGCCCTGAAAAACCACAGAGTCATTTGGAATTCAGTTGGGGCATCTGTCAGTACCGTAATAGCAGATCTGGACCAGAATTAAGTCTGAGTGATTAGGCTCTGTCTCTTTTTATCACACTTAAGAGACTGGCCAAAATCTCCCCACAGTAGGTAGTCTCTGGGAACTCGGTCCACAAAAGCTGTGAGTAAGCTCTATGTTCATGTATTAGACGATAACTCTGAAGCCATTGCCTCTGTGACTCTGCTGGCATAGAATACAAAATAAAGCATCAGGCTGCTTTCCTGGAGGCTCCATTCCCAGGGACCCATCACAGATCTACATAAGCATTAAACTCGGTGCCCTGGTTGTGACTGGCCTTGTTTGTTTTGGGTATCAGTCTGGCTGTCAGCAGCCCAGAAGATGGTTTTCTTCTTGTTGCTGCGAGGCTAACATGCATACAATGGAGGATGCCACTGCGTGCATCAGCGAATAGAGTAGCACCCAGGCTTATCTTAGAAAAAAGAAGGCTTTCTTGACAAGAAGGTAGAAGGGGTCCCTACTGATGGATTTATCAACAAAAAGAACTCTTTCATATGTATACATGGACATCCCCACATAGGTATGTATATGATATTATAACAACACATTGTCTCATTTGGTGCTTACCCTCATCTGGAATTGGAGGAGAGTTTGAATGATTCCCATGTTTGGGCTCAGAGAGACATTAGAAGACTTGCCTAAAATCACTTTGGCAATAGGAAGGTCCAAGAGTTGTTCTGGGCTTTCCCATCCTTCTGCTTCTGTTTGGAGTACAACTGTCTGATATGTATGATTGAGGGGCTAGTACGTTGGTCACAAACTTTAGCAGTCCTCTCCATGAGGGATACAGTTGCTATCACACCATCCCTTTTACCCTATTGATATCTCACACAACCTTGCAATATTGAACATTTATGAGTGAAATCTAGAAACCTAGCATGTTTGCAGTGTCTGTAGTGGCTGGTTATCAGCCTGACTGAGGTTACTGTGAGGAAGCACAGTTTCAGATAACTGGGGATAAGATGTTCAAAACTTGTACAGCATGATGTTTGTAGCTGAGTTAAGACATGAGTTAAGAAACATCAACTTTCTCATCTAGTTAATAACAAGATATGTACATGGTGATACTTGAAGAACTACTCTAAGTTCCCAGGAACTATGAGGTGATTTACTTCAAGACCTTACACTTCTATTGGAGATGGACGAGCATATCAAACCACCTAGAGCAACTAAATAGAGGCGGGGGTGAGGTTCAGGCGACATAGCCAATGGAGAGATCATGCAAATTGGAGTAATTTGAGAGGGCTTTTTAGATTTTTGCCATGGATTTGAAATTTAGACACTGCGTATAGAGTGATGACAGCTTTCTAGATGCTTGGTTGAGGGTAAGCAAAGACGGTGGGCCTAGACATGCAAATTTAAAAGAACAAGGCACGGTGTGGAATATAATTAGATCCATCTCACTGGGTAGGCGTGAGTTTATAGTAAGAGTGGAATGTTACTGTCAAAACATCAATCTGAGGCAGGGGAAATGGTTAAGGTGATAAAATGCTTGCCATGCAACTCTGAGGACCAGAGTTTTGACCCCCAGCATCTGCATAAAAGCCAGGTGAGTTTGACTGATTTTAACTCCAGCTCTTGGGAGGCAAGCTCACTAGCTACATTAGCTGAATCACAAGTGCCAGGTTGAGTGAGAGACCCTGCTCCAGGAAATGAAGTGAGGAAGATACCCAAATGATAACCTCTGTCCTCCAGATACACACACACACACACACACACACACACACACACACACACATGCCAAAACACATGCAAATGTGCAAACACACACAGAATAAGAGAGAGAGAGAGAGAGAGAGAGAGAGAGAGAGAGAGAGAGAGCCAAAGCTGATTGGGAGGATTGTGGTAGATACTAAATGCTTGGATGAATGGTTAGTTCTTCAATGAAAGAGGTATCACTGATGCCGTTGATCAGGAGTCACACCAAAAGAATACAGTGAAGAACATGGGGGAAGGACTGATGATAAAGAGATGAGACATACATGAGCACAGTGTCACGTGTGCAATGAACAGGGGACACACCTGGATGCCTGGATGGGCATGAGGTCTAGCACCTGAGTAATTCATGGGCTGTGTCCCATACTAGCTCCATCATACTTTATCTTAGACACTTGCTCCTTTCATCAGACAGTGTCACAATTTTTGCTCTAGCTCTGAAGAAATGCGCCATCTATCTCTTTTATTGTTCCCTCAAAATTGACTTGAATGAACTTTTCAAGTGTCTCCAGCACTAAGCCATTTGGGCCTCTTGGGGACATATTGATGAGCAGTTTGATAACAGTTTTGAAAAGCCTTGCACTCCCCGTCTTCTAGTCCATTAGATTTTGTGTCCTCTCAGTAACATTCCTGTCTGGTGGTTCTGACACTTCATCACTGGAGGTAGGCTGCTGACTGCTGTGGCTATATGGATGTCAAAGCTGACCCTGTATTCCAGTTAATGTGTGACATGGAAGCAATATTGTTCTGGGGAAAAATCCACTGCTGTTGACAGAACAAGGTTTAGCAAGACATAGCTGGAGAGGCTGTATCGGGGTCCTGGAGTTCACTCAAGATGCAACTCTTCGCAAGAGGGCTTGCACATAGAAGTCCTGTCTATGATTTATTATAACACAGAGACACAAAGCGAGGTCAGTAAGAAGGAAACCAGCTACCACCAGCTTCCATTTGGAGTCCTGTAGACTGTGCTAAATTCCTCCAGTAGTGAGTTGTGAAAAACATATGAATATTATTTATCTGTCTCATTAAGACACCCTGCCCAGGGATTTCACTGAGGCTTGTTTGCCTAAGTATCTTTTGCATAACACAGAACAAAATACTGGACTCCCAGAAGGAAAGCAGGGGTTCAGCATAAAGCAGTGTGAGGCCAGGAGCCATTCAACTTGTTCTGGGAATTGAGCAAAGTCTCCCAAGGGTAAGATGCCAGATGCTAAGCCTGTGCCAATTTTGCAAGCACCTTTCCTAAGAATAGGAAAGTGTCTTAACTCTTCCCTGAACAGGGAGTAAAGATATTGGAGAAGTTGCTACAAAGCCAAGAGAATCTTGTTACAATTCTAAATTAATAAGTCATGTTTCCAGTTTCTCCCTTTCTCCCTTCTGTCACCTCTGTGGGAAGGGCTTTAGTTGGGGAGGGGAAGGGAGGTCCATATAGAAGGAGAAGGAAGGAAGAGGGAGTAACACAGCAACACTAAGGGTGCTTGAGAAAGCCACAAGGAATCATTTCATATTTCTCTAAATTTACATATAATACACATAAGTCTATGTTTATACACACACAGCATTTAAATGAAATTATGCCTCTTCAGGTGATAATGCTCCACCCAGGAGCCATAGAGAATCTAAAAAAATTCCCCAGTGCCAGGTATGAGAAACCTCCTTTAGAGTCTAAAAGACTTCTAAAGCAATATAGTTATTGCTATTGCCCTTGGTTGATTCCCAGAAGTTGAAGGTAAGTCTCCATCAATACCAAATGCTTTGGCCACCAGACAAAGAGGGCATGAGCTGGATCTGACCCCAAACCCTCCTCCCTGAGGATTAACTTTTGCAGGATTATAAGGTGCTACTCAATCTGCCGAAGAAGCAGAACATTAACTAGTCCTACTCAGCTGTGACACCTGCAAACCAGAACAATGGGCAGCCCAGCAAGACATCCGTAAAGGTGCAATAGTGGTATGTCTATCTTGCTGGTAACCAATGGCTGTCTAAATTGGACTTAAGGCCAATTGAACAGAAGGGAAACCATGCCTGGTACTGGAAACCTAACCAATTACCTGAGGCTAGTGAGGTCAGAGATCTCTTAGGAGAGCTTACTACTACCACTCTGCTAACCCATGGCAATTCCTAGCTGCAGTCTGGATATTTATCCTCATATACACAGTTAGGTGTGGCTTGCATCTCCATCAAAGATACCTCCTTTCACAACAGATGAAGACCACTACAGAAAGCCAAGACTAGTCAGAATGCAGAGAGCAATTCGCCGTTGGGTGCCCAGCCCCAAATGAAACATCTCCAACATGCCATCCCGATACACTAATGGCTCAGGGGACATCCTGGAAGAGGGGGCAGAAAGAGCATAAGAGCCAGAGACCAGAAAGTCTGCTGTAAGATGGAATCTTTTAGATTTGACAAGGAAACTGTAGCTTCTCTGTAGGAAGAGTCAAGTGGCTGAGTTTGGGGGAAGATTCTTCGAGCATTGCTGTGCACTTCCTCTGGGGATCACCTTTCTTGATGGGAGACAGTTTGCTTGTTACTGTAAGGAGACTCTTTGGCAATTGCATTGACTTTGTTACTGCTTGATGATTATGAATGAAACTGAAAAGCATCTTGTTTTGAGAACAGACATCCTGAGGGGAGGGTGAAAGCGTTTGAATTGATCACTCTAAGCTTAGGTTTCTCCCAGTCCCTGGCATCTAGGTACTGCACTTGGTATTTAATTTCTCTTCTTGGTTTCTCAGATACTGAAGTTGAACAGAGCCTCAATACTATGTGATTAAGTGAAGCAATGGTTTTTATTTTAGTTAAAATATGTAGTGTAGTTTACAATATATACAGTTTATGGTATATGTGTGTTTACGCATACTATATGTGTATACACACATATATGAGACACATTTTTTAAAAAGGAAAATGGCTCATTTTAGTGTGGCTAGCTTAGAGAAACTTGTGGTGTGGGAGACACCATTGCCTCCTTTGTTTCATGCTCCAGATGGCTCAGAAATAGAAAATGATTTCATGGCAGAAGGTGGAGAGGGTAGTGCTATGTAGCACTTGCAGTAATGGTTACTATAGCAATGGATGACAATTCTGGCCTCTTTCACTTCAGTGAACCTCAGGAGGGCAAATATGAGCTGTAATGAAGGAGGTTTTAAACTCTCTGTCTCTTGTCCTACTGTCTTAGGGCTTCCAGCAAAAGTTCTCCTTCCACAGTAAAGAGATCGTGGCCATCAGCTGCTCTTGGTGCAAGCAGGCGGTAAGTGTGGGATGAAATAAGCAATGCAGGCTCACGTGTGCCTGTCACTGGCCATTCCAAATGCTTGGGCTCCTGTCTACATGTGGAAGATTACACTAACCGAACATTCACTTTTTCTCATCTAGAATCCTTAGAAGAAGAAAGATAGTGAAATTACAGAGCAAAAGCAAAAGATAAGTAGGGAAAAACAGAGAGAAAAATTTAACTTGAAACCCAGGATGAAAAACTGGAAACACTCCCTAATTCTTACCCTGGGACTGGAGTCTAGAAATCCTTCCTCCTGGATCACTCACTTCTTCCCTGCCCATTAGACTGCCAAGGGTTCCTCATCAAACCAAACTACAGCACAGGGAGCCTTGGGTGAACTCTGCAACACAGCGGACCAGGCACCCTGGCTCTCCTGGTCTTGATGTGGCTTTGTTAAGGGGCTGTGAAGAGTGAGTGTCTTTTATGCTGTGCCCACTGAGATGTAGCCCTTCCTTATATTTGACCGTGTATATGCATTAAGACCCCACACTGACTCCTCATCTACTCCTCTTTTCTTTTGTCTCCCCTCTCATTCTCATCGACTCTTAAAAGCACTGCCATCTAAAACAGCACTTTCTCATTTGCTTTCCTCTATGGCAGCTTTTTAGTTCACTCTAACACAGTTGGCAAACTATGGCATTCAGGGCCAAATCTGCCTGCTACTTATTTTTATATAGAAGTTCATTGTAACATAGCCAGACACAGTTGTTCATGGGTTATCTGTAGCTCCGTTCGTACCTCAGTGATGAGTTGAGTATTTGCAACACACCTGGGCCTTTATAGAAAGTTTTCTTGTCACCACCCTCCCCCAGACTCTCAATCTATCTACTCTTTATTTTTCAAGTTAGAAAAAGTATCTTGAACAATATTTTCAAGGTAGAAAGTAGTGAAAAATTGCCGTGGAGAATATGCCTTCCTTGTATTTGTAACCCTTCTGTTCAGCCAACTGGAAGCTTGGATTATAACGACATGTACTCGCACGTCAGCTTTCTATCTCCTCTTTTGAGTGATTGTGTAGATAAAAATACACCACCCGTTTATTGCAAAGGAGACCTGAAAAGAAAGTCTATGTTGTGTTTGCTAGATTCGAGGTTCACAGGTCTACACACAGCAGATTCAATACTAGCAAAGGCACTGGAACAGTAGCAGTTTGAAACAATTGCAGTTGACACTTTTGGAGGGTTAAACTGTTTGCATTATAGCAAGTCTATAAGATTCAACCTAATAGTCTCACTAGCATAATTTCCCCGGGGCCTTCATTTGTCAAGAGCCTCTGGTTATTATGTATAGACCCACTTATTGGTCTGGAAGGTTCAGTGTTGGCTGTACCACCATCATACCATGTTTTGTTTTCTTGGCATTTCCATTTCATCCCAGTTATCACACATGTAAACCTTTGTGCTTCTGTTTAAAAACATGTTCATAAGTACAAGGCTATTGTACTTATAGTGAAACTCTACATCATAGGGGCAGGATCTCCCTCTGGGATTAAGGTGTCCCTAAGGCTTCCCATGCTGCTTGCTTTCCTGAGCTGGTAAGAGCCTGCTGCTGGGTTAGCATCACAGCAAGTCTGTTCAAATAGACTGCTGCTCCTGTGACCCTGGAGTGAGATGTCTTGTTCAATGTCCATTAATTTGAAGCCTTAATCCTACTTTACAGTCAACACTCGAATTCTCTTTGTTAATCTGTCATCTAACAGATCCATTATATCGACTTACTTTCCACTTACCGAGTGTAGCAGAGCTTTGGCCAATTTCACAAATTTTTATTACTCAGAAAGTGTGGAAATCGTTTTTGCAAGGTCTTATATGCAGAATATATTCACAGAAATTACAGTATTGATATATTTTAATAGTACAAGTAATTCCTCCCAGGAATTTTGGTGTCACGTAAAGAAACAAATAGCCAATCCTCTATGATATAGGAAGAAAACCTTGGGCTAGAGAGCTGGGTTTCCTGTGTATATGTCTCAGCTCCAACATTTAAAGGCTATACAAACCTAAGTATACCTGTGAGTCTCTAGCTTTGAGATCACTCAAGTATAAGTTGAAAGAATTACTCAATGTATAAGACTTCTACCACTGTAGAAATGTGATAGGCATGCATTGATGTTTAACTTGAATTGCTTAAAAAACAATCAGTTTTAAAGGAGGTGTTCAAATGAAATTTTTCTGGAATGGTATTCCCTTGGTTAAGTCTGTTTGTGGATCCCAAATAATGGGTGGCATGGAGAATTATTAATTATTTAATCAGTATTTTATCCATGGTTGATATTAATTAACTATTGGATCACAGGAGATCTTGATGATATGCAGAAGTGAAAACAAAATTAGGGTAGCTGTGTTTGCCAGTTTTCCTCAGATAGTCCTAATTGATGTCTGTTTCCCCACATTGTTGTTATCAGTGGTTTTTTTCACTCTTAAATAGCTTCAGCTCAGTTGAAATGAGAGTTGTGTGTTCATACAATAAGTATAATAGAGGTTCCAATTAATTTAAATAAAAAGTCACTGTGATGAGAACTTAAGATCTTTAATTATTGCATAAGATGATTTTTATATTCATTAGAAATGAAATATTCCCACATGTGACTATCACCTCATAGTCAGAAGGTAATTGAAAATATGATTAGAATGAGGTCACAGTGCCAGGCTCACAACAGAGTGGTGAGTTAAGCCCCCCACACTGGGGTGTTGTGGTGACTGTTATTAGCTCATGTTTCCTTACTTCCTGCTAAGAACAAGCTCCTCAGGCCTGCCGAGTGTAATAGGGCCACTGTATTTTTAAGGCCTCTAGATAAGGCCAGTAGAAGCAATCGTGTTGTGTTTTGCTACCACTGCAGATAATAGCTTTATAGACGAGATCACCTCTTCCTTTCTGGCACCCTGTGCTTGAAAGATTACTTGGGGGGCTTTACAGCTATGATAGAAACAAGCAGTCGGAATGTGGGTACAGCCTTCCCAATGTCTTCATTTCCTTCTCTAAATTATATAATATAAAAAGATGTGTGCAGTTAAGGTTAGCAGAGCCCTTCAAAACTTAGTGTCTTTATATAGATCGTCCATTAAACAGTTAGAATGTCTTAGCAGGCTTCATCGTGCTAGGTTTTTATTTACAACTGTTACATCTGTACTGCAATGAATTGGTTTGGTCTCTAAGCTTGTGGTTAGATGGTTAAATGCTGATGAGATGCATGTGATTTTTAACGTGTAATTTGTGTGTGTGTGTGTGTGTGTGTGTGTGTGTGTGTGTGTGTGTGTGAGAGAGAGCATGTGTGTATTTGTGTGTGCATCTATCCCTTCTAGCTGTGGATTACCTCTTACTCAGAATTGCTTATTAGCCTGTTTTTCTCTTCAGTTTCACAATAAGGTGACCTGCTTCATGCTGCATCACATTGAGGAACCCTGCTCCCTGGGGGCTCATGCTGCTGTAATTGTCCCACCCACCTGGATCATTAAGGTGAAGAAACCTCAGGTAACTGCAGGATCCTGGTGCTGCTGGCCCAGTGCAGAGAAAAATTAACTGCTGTGATTTTGCTTTTCTCTCTCAACAGTCTTTAGGCTCCTATAAACCCCACACATTCATCCCTGTGGCCTGGTGCTTAGCTACCAAGCTCATCTCATTGGCCCACCCATCACTTGATCTCACTGGGCTCTCTCGAGGAACCAGGCTCCCATCCCAGTTTCAGAGTAAGGGTGTGTCCTCCTCATCCATGTGTAACCATGCTCTATGAAGGCAGGTCTCTTGAGTTTCAGTGAGTCCCTGTGAGGGCATAGCAGATTCTTACATGCTCTCTTCTCTTCCAAGCCTGAGAGGAGTAACAAGGTTAGCAAGCATCGTAGTTTGGTTAAGAGTTCCACCCATCTAAAGGGCAGACTGTGAGTCATGATCTCCATTACACACAGGCCTACTTAGAGAGCCACAGTGTTTTCTTAAGGTGAATCGAATCTGCTATCTTGGTAGCTAATCCCATTCTGTGCTTTTAAATAGCTTTCCTGTTTAAGCCAGTATCTTCTTATTAGCCTCGGGGGCTTTCCTGAGGATGTAGGGATTATCTTTGTAGGGATTATCCTTCTGTTTAAAATGTGGGTGGGATTTACAGCAGTAGACTAGAGAACAAGGAGCAGGCAGGACAATAGCACACCGGGTACAAAATTATATATCTGGGCCTGTGAGCTGAATTGGATCACACTAGGTCTCCGCTGAGACGTGTAGGAAGAAACATCTAAAATAGCGGGAGGCCACTCTTTGTTAAGGGTGATTACATGGCTTGAATTCCTATTCTAGAGTCCACAATGATGTTTTAGCTATATTTGTGTTTCCCTAGGAAGTATAATGTTTGTGGAGCTAGATCTCATCTTAGTCTTCTTTAGACATCATACTGAAAATAATAGCATTCTAGTACATGGCAAATTAAATGCTTACTTAACTGAGAATATCTACTTGACCTTTTATATTTTGAAGGAATATTAGAGGGACATTAGAATGTGAATACAGATGTGTGGACACACATACACACATACACATTCACACACACATGCACATACATACACACACACACACACATACACACACACAAATATACACATACATACACAGATGAAGTAGACAGACAGATTGATGATAGATAGACAGACAGATAATAGAGATTCCCAAAGTTGGACAGCCATCCTATTCTACTTTACCCCATCTTCCTTCTTTTAAGCTTCTTCTCAATGTCTCTAAGAGATTTTCTGACATTTTTTGTCTTCATGTTGTTATCACTTTGCCTCTAATGAGCTGCACTCTATACTCTTTGGGTCTGTCAGTCATAATCTGATCACAAACTCAAGTTGTCTACCCCTAATTTTATAGCTATGGAATTCAATGTCTTTCCGTCTGTAGCAATGGAACTGGGCTAACAGCACTATTCCTACTTGGCAGGGTTCTTTTTTCTGATGCTTCCCTGCACTTTGACTGGGTTTCCCTTCTAGAACACTGATCCTACTTTATCACTTTGTTCCCCTGAAGGAAGCCCACTGCTTCAGAATAAAGTTCACATGTATCAAGAATCTGTCCACCATTGTGCCCGAGCAATGTCCTGCTCCTCCTGCAAACCGGCCTTCCTCTCCCACAATCTACAAATAATGCCTCAGATACATTTATGTCTCTCCTAGGGAACACAGACGCATAGGATCGAGTTGGGACACTATAGTCTTTGAAGGGAGGATGGCACTTAATCTTTTTTAGTTGAATTTTTAGTGCATGATGAGTTATATGCACACATTATCCCTGTACAAACGAAACTTCAGATAAAAAGTCTCCTTTCACTAACATAAAACTTTATACACCTCTCCTGGCTTTTCTATCACATATCCGTATTACATGCATAGAAACGCACCGTTAGAATAGATACAGTAGTGTTCTGGGTTGAGGATTGTTAATGAGTAATGCTGGCTACCGATAATTCTTCAGAGCTTGCTTAGTTTAAAAAAATGAATCTTGGGTAGATGACCCTTGTAGTACATGTAGTCCTAAACCATTTAAAGCTGTTCCCTTTAAGTAGACATTCTACAGTTGGTGCATACCCCTACTGATATATGTTTATATTGTTTCTAATGTCCTGTTTGCAAACAGTGCTGTGTTCAACCCTTCCTACTCTCAGATGAGGTCTCTTTTTCTTGCTAGCTTTCTTTCTTCATTGTCTCATTATGACTGGATGATCTTTCATTGCTGGAGTACAGTGAAGTGGAATAAAAGATTTTATTCAGTGATTAACACAATTCCCTGCCCCCCAGACTTGCTTAAACTATTTCCTTGGGTGAGTTATGAAGATGAGCCAGCACTCGGGATTTGATGTTACTTGGAGCTCCTGTGGCCTGCTCCTCAACTTTGGGGACAAGTTTGCTTTGTTATTCACTGTCCTCAGAATCACCTTTATTCCCATGGGGGCACCTGGAGCAGGGAGTGAGCATCCCTTACATAAACAAAGCTCTGGCTTCTTCCTCTATGATCTGTCAAAATGTGGTCCCGTGTTTGTAGGAGAGAGGTCCTTTAATATAACCGATTATTTATGTTCCCATAACCTAGAAAAAGTCCCTCAAGGGTAATAAGAGATAAAGTTTCACTTACAGTTAAATGATTCATCCATAAGGACTTCTTAACTGCTCAGGAAGGAGTCACAATTCTGATAAAGGTTTGGTAGATAGGATCACTTCCGTGGCAGGAGAGATCATCCTGATACCTGGTTCAAGAAGACAAAGGGCCTTTATCTTTTCTGATGTCTCTCACAGAAGGATAGGCATAAAATGCCCAAAGGCAACTGCTGTTGAGATTAACAGGCCACAGAAACCAGTCTGAGTAGTGTTGGTCTTGTAAGAGAATCATTTATGCCACTGAGTTAGCTGCCCTGGTTAGAAAGGCAGGCTTTGTGTAAAGTGTAAAAGGTTTCTTGACGCTTTCATCATATTTACTTTACAATAAGTTTTGGACATTGCCTCTATATTCTCACAACACAGGCTACTTTGTTGAATTCCCCAATACTAACCCAGGCAGGGCAAGCTTTGCTGTTAGTTAGTGCGGATAGGTATCTTAGCTTGTCATGGCTGCGGGTACATTCCAAATCTGCCTTCCTAACCATCCATTCCTCTCAAGATGCTGCCGCTGCCTTGAAAGTGAAGAAGTAATGTTGGACATTTGTACTCAAACAGAAGGGAACCGTGGGAATAGTGAGGTGTGCTGGGAAGTTCTAGAGTGCTTGTTATTACCGTTTGACCATTCTTGATGCTATAGACTTCTGTAGATCTCACACAGACACTCCCAGGTGCTGTAAGTCTATCACTGTACTTCTTTTGTAAAGAACTCCTCGGTGAGGCTCAGAGGCACTTGCTACATCTGTGTTGAAGGACTGCTTTGTCTGACTGCTTCTTACTCGAGTTGAGTTGCTTGCCTGCTCCATTTTCGGATTTCTTCCCTCATTTCTAATTCCATGTTTGCCAAATGTGCTTGACCACCAGAATCACCCAAAATGCTATAAATGTAATGTTAAGCTTAAGAGAGTTGTGTAAGACCTCCGCTTGATGCAGTAGAACTACATTTTGGAATTTAATTGTTGAGCTCTGTCAAGAATGAAGGCCCCTAGTGTGTTCCTGCCAGCAAGTGATATTTGCATTTATTTGGTCTAGGCAGGAAATGAGCTAAAACACCAAAGCAGTGGGGAGACAAGCTAGCATATCCTAGGCACGGTTGTAGAAACCAGAAGAGGCTTAGTAAATAGTGCTGGTTATATGACTGTGATTGGGGTGTGGCTGTGCACTAAGGATTTGTGCTGGGTTAAGAGATGTGAGCAGACACAGATCACGGCATGGATACAAAACTAATGCTTCACATACAACTTTTCTGGTTTAAACTACAACTGTCCTGTGAGGTAAATATTATTACTTTACGCTAAAGCTAAGACCCTGTTGTTTTAAACATTCCCTGGCTCAGTAAAGTGCATTTGTCTCATTATTGGGAGCTGTGATGGATTTGTAGCAAACCCATCAGGCTCGTGGTCCTTCTGGTGATCTACTTTACTGGGGTTTCTTTAATGCCACTTTTCAGTTATAAATCCACATTGTCAGCATCATATATGATAGGATCACTCAGGAAGTTTTTAATCTTTGCTTTGGCTCCACTTCAGACAGATTAGTAGAGTTGTACAGAGTCTAGAGCTGAACATTTTTTAAAAGCTGTCTGTAAGGCTAGTGTGTCATGCTGGTTGAGGAGTGCTTGGAACATCATTTGATGGTGCCCAATAGAAGCTTCTTCTGCAGCCTCAGTTTTTCCAGGGTTCCTCTACATAGACTGAAATTGATGGAGATATGATATCAGCCTTTAAAAAATGAAAAAGAGACAAGAACATGATAAAAAAATTCCCTTTAACCTAGGGATTTGGAAGCCAGAGATCTGTTTTCAGGGGAAGCGTGATCAACAATGAATAATGAGGAAAGCACTGTAGTCAGGAGCACCCACTTTCACAAGTCTCTTTCCTGGAGAGTCCCATGTCCTGAAGACATTTCCCTTTGGTTAAAGAAGAAAACCTGGGGCTGCATCGTGGTTCTTCAAAAATTTCCCCAGCTTTGGTGAACATGGGCCACACATCAATTTGCTTGCTTTTCTTCTTCCTTCCATCCTTCCTTCTTCCTTCCTTTCTTCTTTACCTAAGCAAAGGTGAAATAAATACTAGCTCATTGTTGAATTTGATGCATTACTTTGTGTGTTCTAGACTAATGTTTAGTTTTGAATGCTCTAAGAAGAAAATGTTTGTGGTTAGATATTTAAATTTCTTCAAACTAGATTGAAAACTGTTAACTGCTCAAATAATATAAGTGTGTATTCAAATATCAACTTCTAAGTTAAGAATTCTGCATTTCAGGCTCTCAACACTTGGTCAAACATCTATTATATGGTCAGTACTATCTTACCTTTGTAAAGATGCAGTCTAATTAATATTGAGTCCACTATTAAATCTGATTTCTGTGTGGTCTTCAACCAGTAAGTGTGATTGTCCTGTAAGAGTTCTTCCTCCAAGTGTTTTTTTTTTTTTTTTTGGAAAACATAAAGAGAAAATGGTTAGTCAAAGTAATCATGGATTATGGGTCATAAAATCTCTAGAAAGAAAAAGTAAAATTAAGGGTCACTATATGTCAGTAATTTGGAGTCACTTCCATAAAAATGTTCAAAGCTATTTAGTGAAGAGAAAACATTTAAATTAATGGATCTTCAGAGAAAGAAAGAGTAATGCTCCATCACTCCACTATTATATCATAATAAGGTATCTTCCCAGCATTTAAAATATTATGCCTCAGTATTGTTAACATAGTTGGATTGTGAAGTTCTACTGGGACCAAGTGTTATTTTATAACTATTACTAAAGCAGCTCATGAACAGATCATAAACAAAGAAGGAAAATGAAACAAAAAAAAGAGAAGAAAAATAAAAGCAAGAGAAGAAAAATAAAAGCAAGAGAAGAAAAATAAAAAAATGGCCTCCTTTTTTACATTTCCACATAGGTGATCTCCATACCAGGAGATGAACTTGAACTTGGTTGGGCGGGAGACGGACCTGGTTGGGCGGGAGACTGGAGCCCCTCAGAGAATTTGGGATTCTTCCATTTTTACTGGGAGGGTTGGCAGGTATACCATGTGTTGTTATGTGAGTCCATAAGAGCCCCCGCGGCTCTAACTCCCTGCCCCCCTGTGGCGGGGAGTCAGTTGCTCACTCTGGAGCGCTGGTTTCTGTCTGTGGCTTACCCATGAGCAGTGGCTTGGAAGTGTCAAAGCATGAGAAGCATGCCGTCAACAGCATGCGCTGCTGTCCTCTTCTACACGGTTCTGCATGGCCATGCCGGGGCTGTCTGCCTCTGAGTTTAGCTGCTCCCTTCTTTCCCCACAGAACTCCCTGAAAGCTTCCAGTCGGAAGAAGAAGAGAACAAGCTTTAAAAGGAAAGCCAGTAAAAGAGGAACCAACGAGGTAAGTCTCTCAGAGAGATGCCTTAGACACACAGCTTCCTCTGCAGAGCCTGCTTAGCCCTGGGGATCTGGCCCACACCTTTTGTCTTTCAGCCCACCCTACTCACACTGGAATTCCTCATGTTCCACATCCACCAGTCTATCCATCAATTAGTCAAATCTGACCTGCCCTATCAGAGTCAGACTGTCTGCCCCTGCCTGGAATGTCTCCCTGCCCCAAATGGTGCTGATAAAGATGATGACGAGGAGAACCGCCACTTCCACAACTCTTAGAGTATGCAGAATGAAATCCAAAGCATAGCTCAGTTTTCTGGAGTAGATGCTAGTGTGAGGTGCTTTCTTCCAGGTGATGCCATGAAGATCCAGCCCTGTGAGATGAGACTCAGGGTCCCTGGGGTGCACAGGGTTCTCTCTTCCCTTGCTTTGTGATTCCTTCCAAGCCCCAGGTGGGTGTTTATTCTAATAGTGCTGCCTGCTTCTTCCAGCAGGAAAACAGAGGTCGTCCATTTGTAATCAAGCCCATATCTTCTCCTCTCATGAAGCCTTTGCTTGTGTTTGTGAACCCAAAGAGTGGGGGAAACCAGGTGAGTCATTTTCATGAGTTTGGCTTTGAATACTTGATATGACAAAGACATAGTCTCTAGTACAAAGTAAAATAGCATCCCAGGGGCACAGCGTCTGAGGTGTGTCCAGGACCAGGTACAAAACCCCGAGAGTCTGCAGCCTGCCCTTCTTCCACACACAGCTAGACCAGACTGACATCTTCCTTACATTCTAGAAGGATCCTTACAGAGTTTCTCTTAGATAATAGGTTTCAGTGAAAAGCAAAGAAAGGTTTGTTTATGTTCAGTGTGGTCATACTGAGGAAGAAGGGAAAAAATGGAAGCTGAGTGCTTCCTATGTTCATCTTCTCTAAGTTTTCATAACTAGGGATAAATTTACCATCTTGTCTTTATTTCTTCCCATCAAAATTTAATCCAGTTCCTTTGTTCCTGTCCTCAGGGAATGGAACACCCAGAACTCATTGTTACAACAATTGTAAACAAGTGCCGTAAGGCCAGGGAAATAATCAGTTTCTAAAGACCTCACTATCCCTTTTGCTCTCTGCCCAGTTCTTCCATCGTGGCTTAATGTCGGCCCCATTTAAGAAAACAGATATATCCTTACAGAAGTTAATGGCATTCCTACAGGAACCTTGCTCTGTAAGAACATGGTTTTCTCTATAGTCCAGTCCTTTATCTTTTTATCCATTTCTCTGACGCTCCCTGAGGCTTCTTTATTAACACTCTTCTGTGGACTTCCATTTTCTGTTATTTTCTTGGGAATCTGGATATGAAAATACTTTTTCTGACCATTAAGTGTATGCTTTACACTTTGAGACAAGATTCTTTGGAGGTTCCCCATCAACAGGTAGAGATATTTGATAAGGAAAGATGTCATGTCACCAGGGCTTTGACTGCATCCTCCAAACCATGTCATCATTGCTGAGATAATGGATATTTCCCAGGATGAACTAACTACAGTGAGATTTAAAAGGAACTCCCGTTTCCTCCTCCTTTTTCAAGATCCCCGGTCACTTGCAATATTAAAAATCACTCTCAGTACTGTGGAGAACAGATGTTATAACCTTCATTTTCATGTCTGTTAGTGTGTGACTCTACAGCAATCAGTAGAAAAGGACCAGGTGATGGATTTCTTAGGACTGGTGTTCAGTTTGCCCTGAAACACACCTGCTCAGGGGCTGGCCTGAGTGATGCAGTTGAAAATCAAGAAATGGAGGAAAGTGGATGTAATTAGTTTAAGGGTTTGGGTGTTCTGAGCCCTGCAGGCTAGTTAGCATCAGCTGTATTTTACCAAGGCACTCCCTACAGAAAGCTTTGAGCTCACTGTGCAGTCAGGAATGACCTTGAACTTCCTTGTCTCTCCCTCCACCTCATCTGCTCTGTGATTTCTGTTTCTCACTATACAATTGTTTGCTTACTGTGTACCATGCCCTAGAGATCCAGGATTCAAAGACGTGCCCCCCCCCCAGTATGCTGAGACCTACACCCCAAGAGAACACTATGGCTATCACCCATGGCAGGCAGACTGGGGTATCCCAGGGGCATGGAGCACAGTGGACAGGGTGACTGATTTTGACAACTGGGTTAGACAGGCACTGGTGGGCCTTGTAGGATGATCAGGAACTTCCCGTGGCTGAGAAGAAAGGGGCCTTCCTCCCTTACTCCTTCCTCGGTGTAACTACACAGTGCTCTCTTCCAGCTCAGCCCCTTCCAGGACACTATTCCTTTATCATGCCAAAGTCACTGTTTCCATCTGGAGTTCCACAGCTCCTGCAGTCTGGTGCATTCAGTTTGGAACACACAACACCTTAATTATTTTCCCCCAATATCCCCTTTTGTGCCCTTAACAAAAAAGATGTCATCCAAATTCACTTAAGTCTCCTCGGTCTGTTAGTACTTAATGAACTGGGAAGCATTGTTAGGTAACATACGAAGGTTCTGTCATTATTAATTTTCACACTGGAACAGGAATAGGGTTAAAACTTAACTGGCTTGGCAGCCTCATGAAGGCAGGCAAAAGGAAAACAAACAAGCAAAAACATCTGAGTGTCCAATGCAGGGGCTTCTTAGCATGATTAATGAATTCACTTCAGGTCTGGGGATGTAGTTCACATGGTAGTGTGCTTGCCTAACATACATGAAATCTTGGGTTCTGTCCCAAGAAGCATTGAATTAACCAGGCACGGTGACACATGCTGTAATGTCAGCACTCAGGAGGTGGTCTCCAGAGCGAGTGCCAGGATAGGCTCCAAAGCTACACAGAGAAACCCTGTCTGGGAAAAAACAAAACAAAACAAAACAAACAAAAAATTGGGGTTGTGCCATGGAAACTGGATTTAAAGTAACTGACCTTTAACAGAAAGGTGACACGGGAAGTTTAGTGTGCAGATACTCGCTCGGGAGCCTGTTACGGCTCTGGTGCCATCTCAGTAAGTCAGGGTGGCCCTGAGTCCCTGGATGAACCTCACTTCTCATGGGTTCCAGATACTGCCTCTGCCTCCACCTTAGGGGACAGACAGATCTCACTGCCTGACCAGGACTTCCTGCTGCACCAAGTGGGGTAGAGGGTGCGCACATTCTGATTTTTGAAGTTTAACAATTAATAATTTATTTATTTTACTCATCCGACTTTAGGTGAAGAGCACTTCTAACTCATTTCCTCTCTGAAATGTAGGCTCCAAAACTTTTTTTAACGTGCATTAATCTTAAGTAAACAACTAGATGGCATTGCCATCTAGTGGATAGAAAAAGAACTATCTCTCTTTTTCCCCTTCTTACTTAGGCATGAAAAAAAAAAAAGTCAACACTTTGAAGGGTTATATTGGGCTAAACATACACCTGGACTGTTTCTGTTAAACAACACATTATTTCATCACCCTTCCTTTTAAACTTCACAATAGTTGTCCATATTTTTCCAGCACTATTAGGGTACACATGCCACTGGTATTTTGTAAAGGTTTAGACACTGGCTGTACTGTTGGTACCAAAAATATTTGAGGCAACAGGAACTGGGTTCAAGGACTAAAACATCAGCTTTGAATTACTGTCCCTATTGGAGGGAGACTGAAGGTAGGAGATGGATTTACTCTAACACAGTCCCCTCCTATGTGTGGGAAGTTGGGAAGGCTAAGGACACCCCCCCTCCATTTACTGAGTTCAGAGTCTCTTTTCATATTATTTCATATTTGTGCACAGATGTTAACCACTAGACTAGATCTCTGTAGTCCCAAGAGGTGAGGGACTGAGACTGCTCACACTGTCAGTCAGATATGTGGTGGAAACTTGACTCTTGGACCAGAGCACTCAGCCTCTGACTAAGCAGAGACATGCAAGCAAAGGGGTAGCTGCTGGTGAACAGTTTCATGTTGGCTGAGTCTGTACCACTCCCTCTGAACTCCCTCTCCTCAGAAAAATTACCCTCCTAAGTCAGAGGTCATCATAGCAATGTGGACCATCGCAGATAAAGAAACTGACTTCAAATGAGAAATCTGATTCCATAAACTGTCTCCAGAATACTTGGATGCATAGTCTCAGTGAAGCAGTTAGATTTTTGAAGTGCTGGAAAATGTTCAGCCTGGAGCTAAATAAAACTTTATTGTTTTCTACAAATTCAGGCTTCTATGGGTCAGATTGGTTTGGAGAGAAAGCCAGGAGACAGGAAGTAGATGAGGGGATGTGTCAAAATCCAGTCAATGTCACCAGAGCAATCCCAACAGATGAGATTAAAACAATCAAATGTCAAATCTGTTTAGTGTTCCCGTTTCTGTTATTGTTAGGAGGTTAAGCAGTGGGAAGCTAAGACACATACCAAGCTATCTGGTTCCTTTGATGGCCCAAAGCATACCTGTCGGCAGCTGTGGTGATGACATATCAAGGTGCCAGCCTGGCTTTCCTGGGTATAACATCTCAGTGACTATTTCCCTCAAAGTGAAGTCCAGACGTTTTAGCACATGGGACTTTGTCTATGGCTTACTCCAGCTGATTTGTCTCACACCGCTTGTTTCTGCCTCTTGCTCCCTAAAACTTGACCAAATGTACTCTTCTGTGGCACGCCTTCCTTCACACCTCTAGTGACTTCCCTCTGGACCTTCACCTTTCCTCTGCTCCCGTGGAAAGAGATACTCTACATCTTCCACAATCAAACTCGAATGGCATGCTTAGGGTACCTTCATCTGATCTGAACTCGTGTTCAGACATTCTCTCCCCCAGGTGGCTGTGCTTCTCACTGGTCAGCTCTGCATGGCATTTACTGGCTTGAGTGAATTAGTGTTTGGTGTTGGTTTCCTTCCAGCAGGGACTGTGCTCGTGGGTGTAGGGCTGACACAGAACAGAGGCTAAATCCACAATGGCTGATAAGGGGTGGGTTCTTTGGTATAGTGTGTACAGGAAATAGTTATTCTTAAGTTCTTCTTCCCACTGACCTTTGTCCCTTCAGCTTGCGTACTGTCTGGTCAGGTGTTTTTGTCCTGATTATCTACACCATGCCTACCTGATGTGAACTGTGACTTAGTGATGCTGTAGGATGCTCCCGTAGGATGCTTCTGAAGTACTCAGATGGAGAGCTGTGTACTGCGGACTGAGCTGTTCTGAACGGCTTCTCCATCATGATCAGATTTTGCTCTTTGAATATTGCATAGATCTTTCTTGTGCAGCCAGGGGATCCCTGTTTGAGTCACCTCTTCATTCTCCTACCTAACACTACCACACACCTAAGAATAAGGAGGGCTGGGGCTTGAATGGATCTTGTTCACGTCTGTAATAACCTACCCACTTGTTGCATTTTCCGGCAACTAAATGGGAGAGGGTAGCATCCTTCAGCACCTCGCAAGAACATCCAGTCACATAATACCCGAAGAGTTCAGTGCTCTGCAAGTTATTATACCTGTGAGTTGAACTGTAATCTACGAGCACTGCTTTTTATCCCCATTCAAGAAAACCAGTCTCCTGCATGAAAGTTGTAGGCCTTGCATTTGGCATGTAGTGTGTGAAAGCTGTCATGTGTTTAGACTTGCTAGTGACAGTTGTGTAAATGACTGAGTAGCTTTGATCTTAATGCCAAGAAAGATGCAAATTACCCATTTCCAGTGAATCCTATTTGTGTGACCATTGGGTTCCATTTAATAAACAGCCTCTGTGAAAGTAGCCTATCCTAGTGCAGAGGTGATCAGTGGATCTCATTTAAATGTGGGAGTATCTACATTTTATGAGCACCTAGCCCGTATGCTCTGCTCACTAGGGTTGCTTTAGAGAAATGTTTTCATTTAAATTCTTGTCATTTCTCTTCATACAATGTTTTGGAAATAAGATTAATGTGTGTGTGTGTGAGAGAGAGAGAGAGAGAGAGGGGGAGCAGAGGGAGAGAGAGAGAGAGAGAGAGAGAGAGAGAGAGAGAGAGAAAGAGAGAGTCATACCTGGTGTATTCTGCAATCGCTTTTCTTGCTCTTTCTTTGGTGTCAAGGTCTCTGATTGAACTTGGAGCTCACTGATTTGGCTGAACTGACTGGCCAGCAAGCTCCAGGACTATGCCTGCCTCCACCTCCCTGGTGTTGGGGTTCTAAGTGTGTGCCTGGCTTTTTAAGTGGGTCCTGGAGATTGAAACTTGCCTTCTTCACCCTCTCATAGCAAGTCCTTTACCCATTCTCCTGTCCAGCAGGACTCTTAAAAAGAAGTGAAGTCTGTCTATGCCTGGAGGTAGCCAAGCACCGTCATGTAGGTTACCCCTGCCCAAGTCCAGGGATGCCTGTCCAATAAATGGACTGATGTGAGAACAGACTCTCTGGGGCGTAGAAGGAACAGCTTGCCAGGCTTTGTAAACATTCCTCTCTTGAAGGATACATTGAGATAATTAGGTGTTCCAGTGAACACAGATTTAAAATGAGCAAAAGTGAAACCATGCAGCCGATCCGATCTTTTATAGAAATTTTAGGTTAAGCAAAATAACCTCCCCATGCTTTATATTTTCATTTCTTGAAAGCTATTAATTGTCTCACATAATAGAAGAAGCTGGAATTGAGTTGTGATTGCCACCGTAGCAGAGGTGGAAAGGCATAATTACTGTCAGCCATTCACGCTGCTTCCTGAATCAAAAGCAGAGAAGCTGACTACTTTCTATCCAGTTAGTGGGATCTGTACCGTGAATTAGTTGCTCATTAAAGCAATGCTTATGTTACCTATTTAACATACAATATGATCAAAATAATCCTGAATGCACATGGTAGCAAGGTCCAGCATGGAAAGAAAGAAGACGTTGTCCATGTTGATGCCTCCAAATCCATGTTTGTGTTTGATAGGGCAGGAAATATATATCATTTCCTGAGGCCGAAGAAGGTGTTCTGATAATTAAGAATGGGATGTTATTCCCCAAATTACAGCAAGCATGTGATAAGGCAGAACTTTGAGATTACAGCTTTGGGAGAATTGGAGGAACAAAAGAGCTGCATTGGCTCCTGTACCAACTGAGATAATTAGGAACTGCAGGGTGACCCCACGCCAGCAAGTGTAACTGAACAAATGGATTAACAAAGAGCAGATAAGAAAGGGAACAGCAGGTAAGGAGGTCTCTTTTGTGCCACATACTGTGAGATGCACAACCATCAGTGAGTCAGCTGACTCCCATAATCACCCTGGATAGGGGACAGCCCTTTTCATTTCCATACCGCACCTGTGCCGGGATTCCCAGCACTCTGCATCACACAGAGCAGACCCGGAAGCTCTCACCCCACCTCTCAAGCTCTTCCCACACAGCATTGCACTGGACAAACATAAAATGGTCAAAACACTACTTGCTGTAGTCGATAAAAATGAATCATTCTGCTCACTTTTAAAGCTTTGTTGGTATTGGTTCATTTTAAAAAAGATCATTTGTTTCTTTTTTTCCCCTTTAGTTCACTTTAAAAATCATCCAAACTACCTTTTGTCTGTTACAGTGGTCATCTCTATGAATATCTTGGTTTCTTAAACTGTCAGAAGGGACTGAGGAGGGTTAGGATTAAACTGGTACAGGCTTGTAGGTCAGAAAGAGTAAAAAATAGGCTATGACAATATTAGCTGATGAGCCAGCCCAAGTCATTTAACTTTAAACTTTATTGTTTAGATTGTTATTGTCTACACATAATATGAGTTATGGGTAATATTAGCTAGTTATAAATTTATTAAAATAATTTTTCTATATGAGGCTACGGTATAAATGAATAATATTAGCTAGTTATAAATTTATTAAAGTAATTTTTCTATGGGAAGCCAAAGTATAGATGAAAGCATACATATTATATATACAAAAGGTTGGTTCTATTTATATAACAATTTTATTTTTAATACAGGCTGTTACTGTGTAATCCAACCTGGATCTGAATTCACAATCCTTGTCTCTGTATCTTAAATGCTAAGATGAGCTCAAGTCACCATGCCAGGCACACATAGAATGTTTATGTGTAAAATATGTATGCTTCTGTTTCTTCTGCCTCAGTGAGAAAACTTATTTTAATAAAATCGTAAGTAACTAATATTGTCTATACTTATATGTTTAGACAAAGTGAAAATTGATGTTAAGTGGCTGCTAGTTTCCTGTATGGACTTTCCCTTTTACATTGTGATACCAAACTCTTAAATACTGTTCATTAAGCTCATATTGCACATTACTGCAATTGAGCCTCATGGAAGCGGGCTCTGTCCACTCCATAGTGAAGGGAATACATGATGACTCTAATGAAATTATGCAGATTGGACAGTTGTCTCACCTAGACATACACCCCGTGTGTATTTAAAGTCAAAGCTCATGACTGTAGCTACTGTTCCATATAGGTTTTTGGTGTGTGTGTGTGTGTGTGTGTGTGTGTGTGTGTGTGCCTGCCAAGGCCACAAACATCAGGTCCTCTTTGAGGGGCAGTTGTGAGCTGCCTTTCGTGAGTTCTAGGAGTGGAATGAAGGCCCTCCGAGAGAGCAGTATGCACTCTTAAACACTGTACCATATCTCCAGATCTCTTAATTGATATGTAAGAGAGAATGATGGGGTATGTTTTCTAGTTTTGAAATACTTGTAATTTATTTATTTATTTATTTATTTATTTATTTATAGGGAACCAAAGTCCTACAGATGTTCATGTGGTACCTGAATCCACGGCAAGTCTTTGATCTTTCTCAGGAAGGGCCAAAAGATGCGTAAGTCTGGAAACATATCACAAATCCACCCCCCCCACCTGCCATGGGCCTTCTGAATTTTAGGCAAGTGAGGACCATAGGATTTGGGGTCAAGGTTATTTATTATTTCATGGTCTGTTGAAGTTTTTTTCTGTTCACCTCTTATTAACTTTCTTACCTGTATTGTGCTTTGCTTGAAGCCCAACACCCACCATCACTGCATCTGTTTTCATCACCCCACTGTCTGATGAATTGTTGGGTCAGTGCTGGCTTCTCCTGTGCTTGCTGCTTGCTTATGCAGGACTAAAGCCTATTCTCAGGAATTCAGGGAATGAGGAAAGACTCCTTGCTCTTCTGTTTGTCTATGTCCAATTTTGGTGATACATGTTAACAGAAATTCAAGTTTCTAACCAAGGAGTCAACATATGAATGAACAAACATTTGATCTGGAGAGATTGTTTGTATATGGATACATCTAGAATGTGTGTGTGGGGGGGTAATGGAGAAGAAAGAAAAGAGAGAAGGAAAGAAGGAAAGATGGAGGAAGGGGAAGGGGAGGGAGGAGTAATGAAGGAGAGGGAGAGAGAGAGAAAGAGAGAGAGAGAGAGGGGAAGTATAGAGATTAACCAGTTGTAGTTTTGGATGCTACAGTTCACTGGGACAGGCATTTTCATTTCTCTTCTCACCCCTTTCTATATTTACATGTTTAATTGGAAGTATTGAGAATTAGGTCTAGACTTACATGACCCAACATGGCGAGAAAGAGGGGGGCATTGCTGTCATTGCTTCCTTTGCTAGGCCCATTACATGACTAATATAGTTCTGGTGACACAAGATGGCAGTTATTTTTAATAAATAGTGATGCCAGAGCGAAAGGGTTGTCAATACGGATGGTTTCCAGAAAATGATATTCTTATACAAAATGGTAAATTAAAAAAAATTTAAACTTGTAAGGAAATAAGAAATATGAAGTGGGTTTCTATCTTTCCCTTACTCTGTGCATGTCTTCACCACCAAGGTCTGCTGTAAGATGTCTTTAATGTTTGTTGAAGAACTAATTCTTTACTTTAAAATCTGCTTCTCTGGCTTGTGGTCATTTGGATTTTATATTTATTAAGATATTTTTATTACTTAAGTTATAACTTACGTAGATGTTTCATTGGGATCATAGCAAAACAAGAAATCTTTTCAGGAAAAACTACACTATTTGTTACATGTAAGTAGGTGGTAGTTTCAGGAGCAGAGCTGTCCACACAGAGCTGCCTTCGGCAAGAGACTTCGTAAGGCAGAGTGACTGTGTTTCTTAAGAGCCGCTCAGAAAGATAAAATGATCTGACCCCAAGCAGGCATATTTAAAGTAACGACAAGCCCGTGGATGTCCCCCACCTCATGCTGAGTGAGTGGGTGACTAACAGTACACTAGAGAATACTGTAGTAATGACAGTGGCTGGTGAGCCTTCTCCATCTTTCTGAAATTTTCTAAGTGAAGAGTGGAAAGTGTGGGTTCGAAAGATAAACAGACCCAGACAAAGCTAATTAAAATTAAATAAGAAGGAAACACATAAGGGTTAGCTATTATCAGTTAATTAGGGTTTCCTCCAAGAAAGGAGGAGGAGGAGTGATAGGAAATGGAAAAGGAGAAAGGAAGTAAACCGGATGGGAAGACAGTGTGGATGGGCAGGATGGTGAGCATTAGAGGAGACCGGAGGACTCCGTCTCCCAGCCCAGGGCTGCTCACAGACACCAGAGTCTACTCCTGGCTTCTGATCCAGTTGTGGGAGTCTGTTTGCCTTGGTGCTATGGGTAAGGGGTGGATCTCGCATGTCCTTGGTGGGTAGTTCCCATTCATGTTGCCCCGTGGTGCCTGTCCACAGAGAATAACGTGCTGATCTTGTCCTCCGTTTCCTCTCCAGGCTGGAGTTGTACAGGAAGGTTCCAAATCTGCGAATTCTGGCCTGTGGTGGGGATGGAACGGTAGGTCCTTGGAAGAGAATCCATTCGCTGCCTTACCCATCTATCTCCGAGACGGGGTTTCCCGTGGGAGATTTCTTCAACCCCAGTCTTTCCAGCACCCCACATGAGCGCCTGTCTGATGAGAGTAATAACCCCTAAGACATCGAAGGACTTAGCTCTCCTCATGAGTGCACAGTCAGCGTTCTGCAGTCCTCATGAGTGCACACTTAGCCTTCCACAGTCCTCATGAGTTCACACTCAGCCTTCCACAGTCCTCATGAGTTCACACCCAGCCTTCTACAGTCCTCATGAGTGCACACCCAGCCTTCTACAGTCCTCATGAGTGCACACTCAGCCTTCCAAAGTCCTCATGAGTACACACTCAGCCTTCCACAGTCCTCATGAGTACACACTCAGCGTTCCGCAGTCCTCATGAGTGCACACCCAGCCTTCCACAGTCCTCATGAGTTCACACCCAGCCTTCTACAGTCCTCATGAGTGCACACTCAGCCTTCCAAAGTCCTCATGAGTACACACTCAGCCTTCCACAGTCCTCATGAGTACACACTCAGCGTTCCCACCCAGCCTTCTACAATCCTCATGAGTGCACACCCAGCCTTCCACAGTCCTCATGAGTGCACACCCAGCCTTCCACAGTCCTCATGAGTGCACAGTCAGCGTTCCGCAGTCCTCATGAGTGCACACTCAGCCTTCCACAGTCCTCATGAGTGTACACTCAGCCTTCCGAAGTCCTCATGAGTACACACTCAGCCTTCTACAGTCCTCATGAGTGCACACCCAGCCTTCCACAGTCCTCATGAGTGCACACTCAACCTTCCACAGTCCTCATGAGTGCACACTCAGCCTTCCACAGTCCTCATGAGTGCACACTCAGCCTTTCGAAGTCCACATGAGTACACACTCAGCCTTACACAGTCCTCATGAGTGCACACTCAGCCTTCCACAGTCCTCATGAGTGCACACTGAGCTTTCTATTGTCCTCACAGGTACACACTCAGTCTTCTGCAGTCCTCATGAGTGCACACTCAGACTTCTGCAGTCCTTGTGAGTTCACTCTTAGTCCTCTACAGTCTTCCTGAGTGCACACTCAGCCTTCCTTAGTCCACTCCCTCAACTGTACTGCACCATTTTTTATCGCAGGGTAAGGATATTGTCATCCCTGGATAAAGAACTTCACAGATGGCTAAATCCTTTTTCAAATGCAAGCTGACATATTTCCATTTATCCTTTCATAGTTGTTTGTTAACCAAATTTGTTTTTAAACCAACACATAAAAACACTAATACTACCACCAGCCCTTTGCCATTGTTAGTCATTTTTGAGAGTAGCTTCTTACTAAGATAAAATGCTGACTCATCGTGGTTTTGATTAACTTTCCCCCATAGAGCTGTTCTCCATTCAAATATCTTTTGAGAAATGTTTATTGCAATTGCCACTTTTGATTTGCATTGTGTGTCTGTGGATGGCTTCTCTAGTTCCTTGTTCAGTCTGGATATTAATCCTTTGTCAGATGTATAGTTTGTAAAATAAATAAATAAATGTCAAGCATTGATAGACAAAACTCTCAGATGCTGCTCACTTAGTGCCCAGTAACATCACAGACTGACAGTTAAATGAGGGGATGTGATGATTCCCCATGCAAACAGACCTGGGGATCAAGCTCAGGGCACCAGGCTTGTGTGTGAAGCACTCTACTTGCTGAGATGTCTACCAAGATCAAACTGTTCTTCCCTTGACTGCTTATCTTATTATTTAATTTTTATTTAACACTTAGGTTTTAATTTTATTGTTCATTTCCAGTTAAGGAATTCCTGGTTTTAGGGGGTTTTTTTGTTGTTGTTGTTTGCTTATTTGTTTCTTTATGGTCCAGTGAATGAGATGGCTCAGCAGGAAAGAGCTACCAAACCTGATGACCTGAGCTCAATTCCTGGGACAAACATGGTAGAAGGAAAGATATCAACCTCCAAAGCTGGCTTCCATCTTTCACATGCAAATCGTGGCACATGCAAGAAGCACACCTGTTCATTCATATTCTCTCTCTCCCCTGACTCTCTCACAAACAATAAATAATTAAAAAATTAAAATTCTTTCATCTGTCTTTTCTTGTTTCCTCAAAACAGCTGTTTTTAGAACCCCATTCTAAAAAATCCGCTCATACCAATTACTATGACTGCTTTCTTTTTCTTTTTTTAAAAATAATTTAAATTAGAAACTGGCTTCTTTTACATGTCAGTCCCAGTTCCCTCCCCCTCCTCTCCTCCCCTGACCCCCATCCCATCCTTTTGCTGCTTCCCAGGGAGGGCGAGTGCTTCCATGGGGGAATCTTCAAAGCCTGTCTAATCATTTGGGGCAGGGCCTAGGCCCCCCCTTGTGTGTCTAGTCTGAGAGAGTATCTCTCCATGTGGAGTGAGCTCCCTAAGTTCATTCGTGCACTAGGGATAAATACTGGTCTACTACTATGGCTACTTTCTTGTGCTTTTTTTATTACGGTTGCTGAGACTGTGGTTCCCTGACAGCTCTTAGTGATGGTTTGTGACGTCATCTGAGCATGGATGCTTTAGACTTTTGTTTCAGTCTTTGCAGCTCGTCTTTTGTGACTTTCCTTGGAGAAACTCTCTCCCACCTCTGCAGTTACTTTTGCTATTTCAGTATTTGAGGATTGGTTCCCACACTCACCATCAGTGTGTTTTCACAGTTATAACACTAGAGGGCGGCCTAAGCCTGTGTTTATTCTAATCCACTTGGTACGTAGTTCAGCTTGAAGCAAGTAATAACCTAAGAGAGCAATCAACTCCCATATCTTTCTGTAGATCTGGGCTTCACTTAAACACCTTATCCATAGCAACTTGCCTGTGCTCACACAGAAACCAGCAGCAGGCGTTTGGTGACCCATACTGCAAAGTTATTTCGTTCTGTGAATCCACAGCTCATTCAGACAGCACTGGGGGAGCACCAAGGTCCATGATGCTATGAGCTATGAATGGTTGGCACAGTCTTACGGCCTAAGACAGCTTGAACCAGCTGAAGTTGATGCTGGCCCCAATAGAAGTCTTATAGACTAGGGTTGTATGTATGTCTCTGTTGGCACCAAAGTAGGTCTAGAAGCTCTTTTGCTAGCCCAGGCCTGGGAGTGGAAGTTCTTAAATCTTTCTCAGTGTCATGGCTGGCACTGATTTCCAGGACTTAGTGCTAGACTAACTAACTTATCCTATCATCAGCAAATGGAGTATTACTCCATCCACCTGAGGCTGGCCAAGATTGAAGTAGTGTTGGTTAAGGCAGTTTGGGTTGTACTTAAGTCCCCAAGCTCAAAGGGCCAGTACAGTCTCTGGTGTGAGGCTTATTCCACCACGAGAAGGAATGCAGGCCAAATAAGAGTCTTGCATAGTGAGGCTCAAGGTCCTCACACTGGTGCAGTCAACACCATACCTACCGAGCCACCTCTCCAGCCCCTCATTTGTATTTTTTTTTTTTTGAGGGAAGTATAGAATTGGTTTAAATTCTACTCTTGAGTGGTTATTATGTCTCACTCATATCGCCCCTTGGCCTTCATCTTCACGAATTTAGCAAAGGTGAGGATAATCAGGCCAGAGTATGCTTCCATGGACCTTTCTTCTGGATCTGGAGTCTGATGGTTTGGAATCTAAGGATGTTTCATGGGTCAGCACTGGTGTTCTTCATCTCCCTAATTATGATGTTTTGTTCTTGAAGGCTTCTCTCATAGACCGGGAGCCCTGGACACCACACTGGATGCATAGTATATGCTAGTGAATGAAACTTGAATAGGGTATGTCAGTGGTTTGGGGGGCCATCAAGATGCTTGGTGGAATAGCCTAAGTTGAGAAAATAGTGGTTACACTTCTTCAAGATTTGCATTTATTAGCTTGTAAAATTCTTTATGTCTTGTAGCATAAAAGAAAAAACATGTGTGCTGTATGTGTGTGAGCTGGTTAGTTTTCATTAACTAGACATATCTGAGAAGAGGGAATCTTAATTGAGAGCATGCTTACATCAGAATGGCCTGTAGACAAGTCTGTGGGATATTGTCTTGATGAATGATTGATGTGGGAAGTCCAGCCCACTGTGGGTGGTGGCACTCCTGGACAGAAAGCAGGCTGTGCAAGCCACAGGGAGCAAGCCAATAAGCTGCACTCCCTTTGGTCTATGCATTAGGTCCTGCCTCCAGGTTGCTGCCCTCTTTGAGTTCCTGTCCTGTCTTCCCTCAGCGATGGAGCATGATTGAGATGTGTAAGCTGAATAAACCTTTTCCTCCCCCAAGTTGATTCTGATCATGGTGTCTTTCACAGCAATAGATAGCAAAACCATCCTGTCTTTTCCAAATTGTATTTTGTGATGGATTTCCCACCACAATGCCCGTTAATTCTGCAGTTACAGGTTCTACAGAGATATGTTTGGGGATGTGTTAGTGCGGTAGCGAAAGGGTCATGGTCCCTTTTCTTTCTAGTCTTAGGGTCACAGCTGATATCCAGAATAGATGACAAGCAAGCAGAGAAAATTGTGGTGAGTTTATTTAATCCAAGTTTTATTGACAAGGGGTACTTATTGCTCCTCTGCTTAGATCTGATGAGGATTAACAGTGCTGGGCTGAAGGGCGGATGCATGTTCAGATCTTTCTTGGACTCCGTAGCTTTCTTCCTCCCAGGTATGGGACAGGACCCCTTCTTCATGTGGGCCTTACACTCTGTCAGATGAGGTAGATTAGATCTTTCATGGCCAGCACCTGAACAGAAAGGCAGGGGGAAAGTTGGAGTTGCATCATTAAGCTCTATGGTTTGCTTCAGGGAAAAGAGTTCTAGCTTGCAAGCCACCTCGGTGAGGAGAAATTCTGATTTCTGTGACTCACCATGGGGAAGAGTGAGGGAAGACAAACAGGAAAGTCAGAGCAAAGTCTTTGCTTTCTGTGTCTCTCATTTCAAAGCACTCAATATGCCCGAGTGTGGTTGGGCGACCAATTTCCACATTCCAGTACTAGAATAGAA